CAACTCAATAGTTTAAAAAAAAAAAAAAAAACTTTCTGATTTTTAAATGGGCAAATGACCTGAACAGACATTTCTGCAAAGACATACACATGGGCAAAAAGCATATGAAAAAATGCTCCACAATGCTAATCATCAGGGAAATGCAAACCGAAAACACAAAGAGATATCATCCCACCCCAATAAGAATGGCTATTATCAAAAGGACTGAAAATAACAAATGCTGGCAAGGATGCAGAGAAAGAAAGGGGAACTTATGTACTGCTGGTGGGAGTGTAAATTAGCACAGCCATTATGGAAAACAGTATGCAGGTCCCTCAAAAAACTAAAAATAGAATTACAATATGCTCCAGCAATCCCACTGCTGAGTATTTATCCAAAGGAAAGGAAATTAGCATACCAAAGACATGTCTGCACCCCCATATTGACTGCAGCACTATTAACAGTAGCCAAGATTTGGAATCAACCTAGGTGTCTGTCAACAGGTGAACAGATAAAGAAAAGATGGTATATATACATAATGGAATACTACTCAGCTATAAAAAAAGAACGAAATCCTGTCATGAGTGGCAACACGGATGAGCCTGGAAAATATTACATTAAGTGAAATAAGTCAGGCACACAAAGATAAATAACTGCATGTGCTCGTTCATATGTGGGAGCTAAAAAAAAAAATTGAGCCTATAGAAGTAGAGAGCAGAATTGTGATTACTGGAGTCTGTAAAGGGGAGCGAGGGGATAGGGAGAGGCTGGGTAATGGATATAAAGTCACAGCTGGGTAGGAAAACTAAGTTCTAGTGGTCTACGGTAGTGCCAGGCATCTACAATTAACGATTTATTGTATGTTCTCAAATGGCAGAAGAAATGCTCTCATCACAAAGAAATGATAATTACCCTGATTTGATCATCACATTGTATACATTCATTGAGATATAACTCTGTATCCCATAAGTATATACAATCAATACATGTCATTTAAAAATTAATAAACAAAAATTTTTTAAAAGAAAAGAAAAATAAACTCCAAATGGGTTCAAAACTTAAATGTTAGACCTGAAACTTTAAAACTCCTGAAAGAAAACATAAAGGAAAACCTTCTTGACATTGGTCTTGACAGTGGTTTCTTGCACATGACACCAAAAGCACAAGCAACAAAAGCAAAAATAGACAACTGGGAAAACATCAAACTACAAAGCAAGGAAAACAGTCAACAGGATGCAAAGCCAGCATCCTCTCAAAACTTAAATGTTAGACCTGAAACTTTAAAACTCCTGAAAGAAAACATAAAGGAAAACCATCTTGACATTGGTCTTGACAGTGGTTTCTTGCACATGACACCAAAAGCACAAGCAACAAAAGCAAAAATAGACAACTGGGACGACATCAAACTACAAAGCAAGGAAAACAGTCAACAGGATGCAAAGTCAGCATCCTTGTCTGTTGAAGGTAATCTGCCTTTTCCATCTCCCCTCAGTCTCTCTGACTCAATATGGACCAGGTTCTTTATCCTGAAAACCGGGATGGAGGAAGGAGAGCAAGAGAGAGGTTGTGGGTGGAACGCTAAGGTGTGCACCTGGGAGCTGCATACAGACATCTGCCCACCACACGGACACGGCACCAGCATCAGCTGGTTGCCTGAGAACGAAGGTGGAGCAGATGCCCAGAGGGAAGAATCTAGGATGACGTGGGGAGAGAACACACTTTCTTTTGAGACCTGGCAACATTACTGCTCCGTGTCCTTCAGATTGTAGTCCCCGTTTTTGCTTGAGTTAGTCTAAAATGCCACCTGAGAAACCCAACTGACCCTCCTCCCAGAAACCAGAAACACCCACAAGGAAGGATCCACGGGTGACCTTCATGTTTACGCACCTTCCCTCTCCAAGCCAGGCTGGCAGAGCCCCTCTCTGAGTTAACACAGTGGAAGGAAAACACTGAGTTAAAGATGACCCCTCCCACACACTCTCTCTACCTCAGTTTGTCTCCCACATACAGTTTGAGTTTTTCTCATTATTATATTCAAGATCCAGAGAGACTGAGAAAACTGAACTCCAGGAAAAGGATAATGCAATTCTCTAAACTTCTACTGTCCCATATGGCAGCCACCAGCCACATGCTGAGCACTTGAAGTGTACCTAGTCTGAATTCAGATGTGCTGTGAGTATTAAGTATGGACTGGATGTCAAAGACCCAGTACAAAAAATGTTAAATATCTCAATAATTTACTTAATGTAGACTATACATTGAAATGATAATAGTTTTAATATGTTGAGTTAAATAAAATTCTATTAATATTAATTTCAGCTATTACTTTTTACTCTTTTTAATGTGACTCCTAGAAAACTTTAAATGATAAACAAGGCTCACTTTGTATTTCCACAGCTCTAAACTACGTACTCCAGCAACCTCTCGAGTAACCGATGGCAGTGGCCACGTGGGGGCGCTGCTCCCATGTCTGATTGTCAACTGCTAAAACAGGATCTGACGTCTCCCATCAGCACCAAGCCTTTCAGCCCAAGACTGGCAAAAGCATGCCAGCTCACCCCCACCAGCCCTGGAAATTCTTTCCCTCTCACTGCTCATCTAAATCCTATGCTTCAGGGTCCTTCCTGCCTTACTCACCATAGTGCCCCTTACCCCAGCATACAGTAAGCAACCCACAAATGTCGGCTAATAGACTATCACTCCAACTCTCCTGATATACCCATTTCTCCAATGCTTCCAAACTCTCTTAGAGAATACAGCCTCACGTTTATGTGGCATATGTTAAATTTGCACATAAAAAATCGTCTGAGGAAAGGAAGCTGTAGATTAAAAAGTGAGAGAATCATTGGACTAAATGATATATGGTCATTATCCAACCCTACCACACACAGTTCAGCTCTGAAAACAACCAACTCTGATGAGCTCCTGCACTCCATGCCAGGCACTGTGCTCATGAGCCCTGGAGACACTGAATCAGACACAGTTTCTCTTTTAATAGCTTATACACACTGAGGAGGTAACATCATGAAGGAGAGAACTACAAAAAAGTAAAACAATGTTCATTGTTTCTGTGATGTTCTAGAGTATTGCAGAAACCCAAAGGGGTGTGACCCAAGGCCATCCTGTGCAGTTGAGTACTACACAACTCCAAGGTGCTGCATGGATATTATCATCCATATGAATGCTGTCCCCTGGAATTGTGCAATGCACAACATGAGCATCCACACATGGCAGCTCTAAAATGGTCTTTAGTGTACAACACCTCATCTAATTTATACAACAGTCCTGGAAGGTAAGTATTATTACCTTTTTAACGTCTAAGGAAAACAAGGCTCATAGAGGTTAAGTAGCTTTTCTGAGATCACACAACTGGTAAAACACAGAACTTGGTATCAAACCCAGGTGTGCCTAGGTCCAAGGCTCTATCCACAGAACCCCTTGACCACTTTCCAAGTCAGGTCTCAGAAGTAAGAGGCCTTTTTTTCTTACTATTACAATCACCAAAATTCCTTAAAAACTGTTAGAAATATTCTGATGCCCTAAAGAAAACATATCCAGGTGTACAAAAGCACAAAGCAAGATGGATTCACCCCCAGGATGATCTAAGATAGAATTTTGGCAAAGACACAGGGAGCAAAGGACACATAAAATGAAACAAAGATATGAGAAGCAATTTTTTCCAAGCACAAAAGAAAAAGAAAAAGACGATACATGAAAAGATTAACTAGGACAATGCATAGTGAGTAATCCCATTTCCAAAACAGCTTAGGAGCTTGTTAATACAAGCTCCAGGGAAATAGGAGTCTTACTAAATATCTGATAATGGTTAAAAAGAAAAAGTGTTATTAAATTTTTAAGTGAGATGGTAATATTAGTGTGGCCATGTTTGAAAGAAACAGAAAAGGAGTCTCTATCTTGCAGCAATACATACTGAAATGTTTACAAATAAAATTACATAATGATCAGGACAGGTTTCAAAGTATCCAATAAAGGGAAAGAAAAAGAGGATATAAATGAAACAAGTTTGGCCAAGTGCTGACATGTGTTCCACTGGGTGATGGTGGGTACAGGTTTCGTCATACTGTCCTCTACTTTGGTGCGTATGTGAACAATTCTATAAATATGCTTTTTTCTAAATGCAGTAAGGGAATTCATTACTTAAAAGAGAACGTGGCAATGAGTTATTCTATAATGCAAAGAAACCTCTTAGGATGTAAAAAAAAAAGTCCTTCTTACTCTTTTTTTAGACTGGATCTCTATAGAATGAGATACATAGGATGAGTCTATGCCAGTAAAAGCAAATATTTTAGGAGGAAAAAAAACCTGATTTTTTTGGGCCGGCCCCGTGGCGCACTGCTACAGTGCGCTGCTTGGGAGCGCAGCAGCGCTCCCGCCGAGGGTTCGGATCCCACATACAGACCGGTTCCCGCTCCCTGGCTGGGGGGGGGGCGGACGGAAACACGTG